GAGCACAACATGGGAAGAAACAAAGAGAGAGAGAGAGAGAGAGAGAGAGAGAGAGAGAGAGAGAGAGAGAGAGAGAAAGAGAGAAAAAGAGACATGAAAGAAAAATGAGACGCCATCAGCGAGTGTTGCTGTGTGCCACGGCGTAGCCGTGGCGGGTTCCACTTATTTTCATTATGGGTGGGGTTGTGTATAGCGAACATGACAACACGCACTCACACAGACTCGTGCGTAAAGCGGTACACGCATCTTTCAAGCCACATGACACACATGCACATGCATGGAGTAATGAATCCATATGCAACCCCATGCCCAGCTACCAATTCAACTGGACCAACAATGTTCTGGTGTACACCCTCTAGCTCTTCTTTTCCCCTCCAGTACCAGCCCTCCTCCCCCCCCCCTTTGCGGCCCCTCCACCAAATTCCACTCACTCTGCTGCCCTTCCAATAACCCGAACCGTCCCCAATCATGTTCGCCCCCTTCACTTCCAACAATCCCATAGCTCAACCCCTCTCCATTTGGATAGCAACCCCACACACTCTTCCAGTAGACACCAAAACACCGAGCTAGGCAGGCGGAATGAATTGTGTGCTGGCACGAACATGATGCAACATCCTCAGAGCACCCCTTTGTTGCGTCTGGCAATGGACAACGTGCATTCTCCGCCCGACAACCAAGGGGTTTTTTGTCCATTTTCCGCCCGTCAACCAAGGGGTTGTTTGTCCATTCTCCACCTGACTGTGCCTGTAACACAGCAGCCAGTAGCTCCCCAGGCCGGTAGTCCAGTAGACACGTTGCCGATTGCCAGAGCCACTTCCTGTGATGAAAATTCAACGGCCCTTCCTGCTCCTAAGCCCCAGTCCATCATTGTCTTCTTATCCTGCTGCACACCCTACACATGCCCATCTTCTTATCCTGTTGCACAGCCTACATATGCCCCTTCCTTTTCTCTTCATTTCGTTGTCTCAGTGAAGTACATTAGTATTTGGTTCGTGGAGGATGACGATAACAGCAGTGCTTTCCTTAGCCTTGCACAAAAACGAGAAAGCTTCAAATAGTGAACAGAGGAAAAAGAACACGAAGAGACACAGAGAGAGAGAGAGAGGAATAAGCATCATAGTAAAGCCTTAGCTTAGCCCTGCTCGAAAACATGGCATCTCAAGATGGGTGACAAAGGGAAAACATAACAGAGACTGCTGACAAGCAGTACCTTAACGGCTCAAGCATAATCTGCTGAATACTTTGCTATGAGCATTTACAAAGGAACTCAGTCAAATCCACAAAGCCCAGGCCCACCGTAAAGGAAAGCGTTCACGTACCGGTTGTTTTGACTCTATCAAGATTGAAAGCACTGTTGAGCTCACAGACGGGCCATTCCTGGAGGAGAACAAAGCCACACCAAAAGACAATGATTCAGCTAATCTGCACACAGCTCTCTCTCTCTCTCTCTCTCTCTCTCTCTCTCTCTCTCTCTCTCTCTCTCTCTCTCTCTCTCTCTCTCTCTCTCTCTCTC